AGAGGGTGAGTTTTTTAGCAGTAGTTGTACCCCTGAGGTTAAAAAAAAAAAAAAAAAGTGTCTTTTAAAGGAGGGAGTTTGGAATTGCATATTGTGTATGGGGAGAGGGTGGAGCTTGGATGTAATTTGATGAGGTGTTTATGTCATCTGATTTATTTGTTTATGAATAAGATGCTAATAGCTCTTAGCTCATTCATACTTTGGACCTTCCGTAGAGTATGCATGTTTATAGTTAACCAAAACACAGTCCTTAGAATGCAATTGTCCTCATTAGAAAAGGATCCAAAGTAACAAGCTATTTTAATCTTAGGGAGCTCCAGGGCCTGCTGGGCCTATTGGCGAGCCAGGAAAAGAAGGTCCCCCAGGTCTTCGTGGTGATCCTGGTTCTCATGGCCGTGTGGGAGAACGAGGGCCAGCCGGGCCCCCAGGTGGTCCTGGAGACAAGGGTGACGCAGGGGAAGATGGGCAGCCGGTACGTCCTGTTTGATGTTACTAATTCTCCCTAGACCAATCTTGGGCTTGGTCTTGTTGTTACTTGCACTTATTGCTGCTGAAATGATAGTAATGTTGTTTTATCCTTTGTGGATTTCAGGGCCCAGATGGCCCCCCTGGTCCGGCAGGAACTACTGGTCAAAGAGGTATTGTTGGTATGCCAGGACAGCGGGGGGAAAGAGGCATGCCAGGGCTGCCAGGTCCTGCAGTAAGTAATGATCAAGTCAATATACCACCAGCCCTTGGGCATTCTGATCGTCTTTGTGGAATTGAGAGTGTAGTGCCCCATAGCAGGAGGCGAAAGTTGGAAAACTCTAATTGCAGGAGCAGATATAGAGAGAATAGTAAATAAATCTCCTGCAAATGCATGAGGTGGGAGATTCTGTTTCTGCCATAGAGGAAGATCTGAGCCTGAATTAAGAGTAAGTGGGTAATGGCATTAAGACTTCTGGCTAAAATGTTCCTATTTGACATAAAACTAGATCCTTGAAAAAAACCATGCCAGACTCTTAGGTGCCCCAAAGGTCACCTGAATATGAGTAAATATTCTGCAAGTGCTATTTCATAAATGGTGAACTACAATCTTCAAAACTGCTGTTAGTGGTCTCTTTAGTTTCCTGTAGGATTTATACTTATTGGAAAGCCTAATGATCCAGGAGATCAAGTCATTAAATAGAATATTAGTAAGAGGGGTGGTATGGAGGGTCTTCTATTACCACTGGATCCATGAAGTCAATTTATAGTTAAAGTCAGCCAGAAATTATTCCAGGCTAAGATTTGTTGGTGTTGAGATGGCCAAAAAAACAGTCATATTACTTATCTCCAACTCTGTTACATTTTTCCAGACTTGCAGACATTATCTATTGCAGATAATTCCATCAGACATATTGACGTATCAAAGGAGTGTCTGCTTAGAGAGTTGCTACTAGATAGACGAACTCAAGTTAATAAAACCTATTAAAAAGCAACTAGCACAATTAAACTGCTTAAAAATACACAGTATATTACATATATATTCAAAATCTATAAGAACACTTGCCTTAATTCTCAGGATCTGGAAGTTACAAATATTGATGGTACTTCAGACTGGATTAATGAGTAATGTTTTGCAGGCAGCAGTTTTTCTTGTGCTTGCTTTGTTTTGTGATTAAAATTTTGACATGATATTTCTCATCTTTTTTTAGGGTACACCCGGAAAACAAGGTCCCACAGGGCCACCTGGTGATAAAGGTCCCCCAGGACCTATTGGCCAGTCAGGTGCCACTGGACCTGTAGGGGAAGCTGGTCCAGAAGTAAGTATTAGAGCTTAGTAAGACACAAAAGAAGACAGTCTAGTAATTATTCTCCTTAACTTTAAGTTACAGGTGAAGAACAACTTTCTAGTTCTTGTAGAAATGCAAGATTACAGAACTAATCAATAGCCCTAATTTTGTTCCATAACTCTAGGGACCTGCTGGTAATGATGGTACTCCTGGACGAGATGGAGCTGTTGGAGAACGTGTAAGAATATATTGTTTCATTAAGTCACTTCTGTAAATCTCCATTTTATTGTTGCCTTATTTTAGATTTTTTCTCTTCATTCAATTAACTTGAATGGAGAACTTGTTCTGAAAGTGTATCACAGCTTTGCATGAGTAGTACCTCTCAAAGTTGAGGAAACCTGGCTAAGAGGCTAAGAACACCCACCTCCAGAAGCTCAGATCAAATTGTTACAGAAGAAATGTCTTTGTAGATTGTAATTGCTAGAAAATAGATTAGGAACGCTAGAGTCCTGTTGCTTTGGCCTAGTCCAGTTGTCTTTAGCTAAATAATGTTGAAATTATGTTTTGCAGGGTGATCGTGGTGAACCTGGCCCTGCAGGCCTACCAGGTTCCCCAGGTGGTCCAGGAACTCCAGGTCCCGTTGGCCCTCCGGGAGATGCAGGTCAAAGAGGCGAAACTGTAAGGCAGCCTTTTTTTTTTTCTTCTTTTTTTTTTTTTTTTAAATACTTTGTTTATTAAAAAACTGTCATGTACACTTCTGTGCATTGCTTCACATATCTTCTGTATGCAATCTTTGTGTAGGGTTCTCGAGGTCCAATGGGTCCCCCAGGTCGAGCAGGAAAAAGAGGTTTGCCTGTAAGTTCTCCGTGGTCACTGTGGTTTTAGCTGAGATAACACTTTGGACAGGAAAGTGTGTGAGAAACTGAGCCCAACTGGGAGTGCTGAACAGGGCTTCAACTTTTGGTGTTGTGACGGCACGTGGATGCAGGTAGTCTTCTGAGCTGCAAAGCTGTACAAATCTGTTTGAATACACAAGTATTTGTACACTTTCTTTAAAAACATCTTGCAGAGAAATAACAAATGCTTTGTAAGCCTCTTTGTTTGGAGTGTGTTGCTATCCAGGTGATAGTAGGGCCTGAGTTAGCAAATGGCTAGAGTCTGTGTTTGACAATTCAAATAAGGGGAAAAGAAATTAATGCTGAACAAAAAAGTCAGGTTTTTTTTACATAAAAATGTCAGAAGTCACCTGTTCCCATGAAACTGCCTTATTCAGTTAATGAGATTCCGACTTCAGTCCAAATGGAAAAACAAACAAACGCCATCTTTTTGTGTTATGTAACTCTCGTACAATCCAAGCTTGGAACAAAAAATTAATTGCAAACTTGGGAAATTCAAAAGGATGTTGTCCTGTCCCTAAGCAGATGTCACATGAGAGACAGGAAAAGTTTATTGAGTAGTTAGTGATAATGATGCCATTGATAAACTATTTGGAATCTGGCATTGAGAAATTTATCATGCAGTTTGGCCTGAGAAATACAGAATTGAAAGCAGAAGCCATTTTTTCCCAATGATTGTTGAATTAGTATGAAAAGTTTGAAACTATTAAAAATACCAAGTATGAAATTATGATGGTAATAGAACCAAGCTATTTGTACTGGAGAGCGTGACAGTCGTTGCCTGTAGTTAGGGAGCATAACTTCAGCTGTACTTTAAGCATAGTGAAGGTGGAAAGAGCTGTGAGAAGTGAAGGTACAATGTGGAGGATTTCATACTAAAATCATGAGTCTGTGAAAGATCCACAATGTTTCAGTAGTGTCTATGAAATTTATTTGCCATATTAAGTAAGGGAAAAAAACATTCTCAGTCTTAAAATTTTTGTTATGTAAGTTATCTAGTGTCATTGTTACAGGGCTTTTTTTTGCTGTATAATGAAGCTAAGCAGACTAAAATTACCACAAGTATAATTAAGCACAGCACAATTTTCTGTAATTATTTACTTATTCATTGGCAAAAATTAAGATTCTTGGAGCTTCCCCTGCCTCACCTTCTTTCTGCTTGAAAAAAAAAATGAAAGAGGTCTAGAATGCAGTGTCTAAAAGCAAATGAGGGTGTTTTTAGGTTGGGGTTTTTTCTTCCAGTTCAGAATTTTACATTTCATCACTGATATTTACAGGGTCCCCAAGGACCTCGTGGTGACAAAGGTGACAATGGAGATAGAGGTGACAGGGGCCAGAAAGGACACAGAGGTTTCACTGGGCTTCAAGGTCTTCCTGGTCCTCCTGTAAGTCATTCTGTTTTTACTATAATTTTATTTCCTTCATAGTTAAATAATGTATCAGGAACACAGTTATTTGAAATAGAAAAAAAAAAAAGCAAACAGGAGGGGTTTTTTTCCCCACAAGGTGTTCGTGAGTGGCCTGGCTGTCTATACTTGCTAACATTTGTAATTCAATTTTACAACACTGTTGCACGATGAGGCAAACCTGTGCTTTGCAAGATACATGTTCTCCTACTCTTGTTCCATTTGTGCCAGTCCTGCAGTGACAGGTCTGTGACCTGTCAGCACAAGATGATAACAGAAGTCGAAAGTTTCAGATAAGCACATTAGACTGAAATGCTTTTTGCCAGTGTTTGAACTCTTCATAGTCAAGGAATCAAATGCAAAATCCCATGAGGACTGTGATAGTATCTCTCTCTAGCATTTGCAAGAACTTCATTACTTCAATGGCAATTGAATGGAAATGCCACAGAAAACTTAATTTTTTTATGTTTGTTTACTGATCCAGTGCAAGAGCTGGAAATTTCAACATGCAGAAAAGAGTCAAAAAAAAAAAAAAAATAAAAAAAGCAACACCCAAAGCATCTTTCCACTTCATAATAGCATTGTCAATTAGTCTTGTGTAAGCCAATCTGATTCTAAATGTCATGAAAGCCAGGCTTTTCTGCAGAAACAACTTTATATATAGCCAAGCACCGGTAAATTCTATGAATCTAAATTATGAGTACTGTTGTTACTCTGACAAAAAAGAATAGAATAAAAATGAATCGTAAGAGTGAAAGGTACTACCCCATTGTTCATGTATATTATAATGCTATTCGTACAGAATTGTGTATATCACACAGTAATTCTTTAAAACTAAAGGAATGTGCTTTAAAAGTCACAGTGATATGATAATTTCTTCTCTTTAGGGCCCTATCGGTGAACAGGGCAGTCCTGGCATTCCAGGCCCATTTGGTCCTCGGGTGAGTATAATGTTTCAGGTTTAAGGTTTTTGTTGCTTGTTTTTTTCCCACAGTTAGATTTCTACTTCAGCTTCGCTTTTATTTCTCTAGCTTTTATTGACTTCAGCACCATGTGGTGATTACCTACCATCTTTTGCTGAGAGACATTACCTTGTTTAATATAGCAAAGCTTTGACATAAGTGCGGTTTATAGCTAGATAAAAATGGCAGTTCAGAGTAACTACAGGGCTACAGTTTCTTTTTACAGACACTTTTGCTGCAGCTGATGCAAAACCATACATGTGGCAGCTCTGCTAATTGCTACTCTGCCTTCCATACACCCTGTGTATGTTATCGACCTAAGAGTAAAGGAGAAATATGACTCCCCTGGATGTTCACAAGTGGCAGTATATCTCTGGGTCTGTATGCATGTAGGCGTACAGAAGCTACTCCTCTCTGTATAGCACCTGAAATTGAACCTGCTTAAATGGTTTAGGAAAAAATATGCAGCTGATCCCAAGATGTATTGTCTGAGGTGATTGACATCAGAAGAACAGTGTTGAAACTGGTTTCTCACTTTTAGAGAAGAAGAAGAAGGATGACTTTTAAAAGTTTTGTAATAGACATGAATAATTGTATTGCTTCCTGAAAAGATATTGCTTGTAAAGCACTGTTTCATACAACTTTTTTATTAAATGCTGAAGTACATTCCTCCTTTCTCTTGTATTCTCTAGGGTCCTCCAGGTCCAGTTGGTCCTTCCGGCAAAGATGGAAGTCCCGGTCCACTTGGGCCAATTGGACCTCCTGGTGTTAGAGGAAGTGTAGGAGAAGCTGGACCTGAGGTAAGTTGATGGGAATATGGAGGGAAAAGGTTGCCTTCAAATAATGAGGGTTTTTTTTACAGTCCATCACTTTCTCAAACATCCATGAGTTCAACACAAATGGTAAGACTTGATACAGACACCATGAGCTGATTTGCAACTAATGGAAAATAGTTTGACCATTTTGGAAAAAATCCTAAACCTTTGCTAAATGCCCCAGGCATATTCCACATTTACCAATTCGCAATACCCTGAGTCATAAAACATATGATCCTGAGTCATAAAACATATGCTATCCCAAGGAAGACAAGTTAGAAAATTAGAGGGATTTGAGAAAAGCGTGATGTGGATGAACATGTGAAGAATTAAAAGACTGGTATTGCTCATTTCGGGGAAAAAATGGAAAAGGTGGAATAAAACAATGAGCAAGACAGAGAAGGCAGTTTCTGCTGGTTTTCTGTCTCATAAGACATGGTGCTTCCTGTGTTTATTGTGTGCTAATATTCACCCTATCTCATTTGAATTTCTGCCAATTATCAGTATCTCCACTTTTGCCAAGGCACCAAGACTTGAATGAAAATCAGTGGTAGAGCACGGGAACATAATGTGTGTCCAGATCCTTCGCCTGTGTAATGAGACAGTACAACAAATATTGCATGCCAGTAACTTGAGTTTTGCTCTCCATGGTGGCTTGCATGCAAGTATAAATTAGAACCAAAAAGCAAGAAATAAAAGTTAAGATTTCATTTGTCAGATGCAGCGTATATTAGTTTGGCTGTGTGCTCTGTAGTAAACATTTGGAGCGCTAGTTGTGAATCCTGAAGTAGTTACTCTCAAAGGAAATGCCACATTCTGATATAACATCTGATGCACAAGAGCATCAAACTTATAATGACGGTATGTTACAGGCTTCCTGCTCCCAAAGAAGAGCTGGCAGAGCCTGCAGGTGGAGATATGTTTGTTAACGGATAAATGCTGTCTCGAGACTTGGTTACCCTCCCGAAGCAACACAGTTCAGGTTGACAGAAGGACCTCACCACCCATAATTCAGGAAAACATACTTAGTCAGGAAAACACCTGCTCTGCCAAGTAAGGATGGTGTAGATGCTGGCTCACATACCTGTGGCCAGAAAGCTTAGCGCTGTGCAGGATAAATGCAAAGGTATTTCTAGTGCCAAATTTTCTCTGCAGGCTTTACTAATTGAAAAGGTGCCTGAGGCAACTCAGGGGAAGCAGGAATATTAGATTGCTCTAAAAATCACTTACAGCTATTGGGAATTTTAATACATAAAGTCACTAGACAGGGATTTGAACAGGGAGGGACAGATGGCTTCAGAAATGGAATGAGGAGGCCGTTCCTTGATTACTTTTTCCAGCTCTTAAGCCTGAAATCAGGAGTAAGAAAAAGTTGAGCAAGGTATTAAGACAGGCAGAGAGGGCATGAAGCAGAGAGAATACCTCACATGAAGTTTTAATCATTACCTCTATTCCTGGAAATGTGAATTGTTTGTCTATATCTAAATTTTCACTGTGTATTAGGGTGATTGGCCATGAAGTTTTGCTTTTTTAGTGTCTGGCTTTGCTATCATTTGGTGTAGTATTTGCTCTGCTGTGCCTCTATTGCTTTTTTTTTTTTTTTTTCCATAGGGTCCCCCAGGTGATCCTGGCCCTCCCGGCCCCCCAGGACCTCCAGGCCATCTCACTGCTGCCATTGGCGACATCATGGGGCACTATGACGATGCTATGGCAGATCCGCTACCAGAGTTTACCGAAGATGAAGCAGCCCCAGATGACCACAATAAAACAGACCCCGGAGTCCATGCCACACTGAAGTCTCTGAGCAGCCAGATTGAGACTATGCGCAGCCCAGATGGTTCAAAGAAACACCCAGCGCGAACTTGTGATGACCTGAAGCTGTGCCACCCATTTTTGTGCGTATAAACACACCATTCCCTGTATGTGCCATATGATTCCATCATTATTAGCTAATTGTCATTAGCTCAAAGTGTTACCTGTGGTCTGAGAGCCTGGGAGTGCTTTCCATGCAGACTTCTCTGCTGCTGCTCCATAGAGGCTATTTGGTGGTAATGTACTAAACGTGGTATTTAGGACTTTTCCTAATATATCTGGGTTATCAGTGACAAATCAGAACAGACTGGAAGGTAGAGAGAATTTCTAGCAGGTCTTACCAGCTTTTTGCCCCATTTTCTGAAACTTTGCCTCCAACATCAACATTAGGAGGGGCTGCCATTGGTTTCTTGTATGTAGGGAAGATTCTCTTCTAGCCATTGTGTGTTCTCTGTGCACTTGGAGCTTCCAGGAGCTTTGCAATGGATTTAAATAACCTTAACTTTAAACAACTTTCAAGTCCGCATTCCCCAATTGTGAAATATTTGAAATACTGATCAGCTTGTGCCTTGAAGCAACATTATAGATTATACCTGACACACATATCAAAACATGCATCAGATTATGTGAAACATACTCCTGTTTTCCCTGTGTTTTGTACTGTCATGACATAGTTTTGCTTGTGTCTCCACAGTTCTTTCAAGAATCTTAAGTAACAGAATCACATTTTATGTTCTTTGTAGGTGAATACTGGATTGATCCTAACCAGGGATGTGTTGAAGACGCTATAAAAGTATATTGCAATATGGAAACTGGAGAGACCTGTATTTCTGCAAACCCATCTAGTATACCACGTAAAACATGGTGGGCCAGCAGGTCACCTGATGTAAAGCCCGTTTGGTATGGCCTCGATATGAACAGGGGATCACAGGTAAGTAAAAATACATTTAATGTCAAGAATTGACTTCTATGAAACTTGTTTCCTTCTGGTTTAGAACTTCATCTGCTATCCTGAGCAGATTCTGCTACAGTCAGAACATGGTAACTGTTGATAACTGGCTTATATTCAATTCATTGTTATCAGACAGTGATTATAGGAAAGGGCTGGGACTATACCACTGCTGGAAGAGATTTATTTCTCTTGATCCCCAAAACTTCAGCTTCTCTAGCAGTCTCCTTCAGTAACTCACTATCCTTGTCCTTAAAAAGTGTGCTTTTACCCTAATACAATAATTGCTGTTTTAATTGAATTCTGCCTTTTTTTTTCAGAAAGCTTTTTACTGCTGAAAAATACAAAGCTTACTTTATAAATTCTTTCAGATAATCCATTTTTTTAAAAAAAGTGTGATTGTTATCAAAGGTGTCAGAATGCTCCATGCTGAATGCATCAGTCTCCAGGCAGATAAAAATTCCAGTCTTAGCTTTCTGTTGGATTTTCCCTCTGTGATAACTTCTAAAAGTAGGCTTAATGGTCCTGCTAAATAACAGAAGTTTATGCTATGCAAGGTATATAATTAATTAACAAGCTTCTGCCATTTTTATTTCTAGATCATCAAATCAAAAGCACAGAAAATATTTTTTTATTGTTATTTCATAGGGAGTAATTAAATGTCTTTACAGCAAGTATTTGGTATGTGAAAATAGTAGTGCTGTCAGCTGGTTTCCTGATGACAGTTCAGAACTTCAGCAATTGAGAACAGATGTGATATCGATTGCTTTTTTGAGATGCTTTCACTACTTATTAAATCCAGGAGAACGTGCCATGACCCAAGATATCACAGTTGACGTTTAGCTGCCTGTAGAGCCACGCGTAGGGTTTGTGTAAGTCAGATGCTCCTTGGAGGAAGAAATTGGCTTCAGGAACACTATAATAGAGTATTTAATTTTTGAAAACACTCTCAGATTTGATAACTAACAGTATGAGCTGTGTAATAGTCGTATGCACTCCTTACGGATTCTAAATAATAAATATATCTGAGATTGCTAAACAGTGATAACATGTTTTGTAAAAAATGAACAGTGTCAGTGCGTAAGATTTTCTTTTCTCTTCACCAGTTTCAGAGGAATGTATACATTTTTCGTAATTCATGATTTTTTTTTTTTCAATGATTCACAAAGCATGAATAAAATGAAACCTGCACAGGTAGGGAAAATATCTCAGGAATTTTAGAATTTTTGTTATTGGTAGAAAAATTGCTTCTGTTTTTTGTAGAAACAGTGGCACATTGAAAAATATTTTTCAAACTTCTGTGTAAGTTAAATAGTTGCTAAAGTCCATATGCAAATGCATAGCTAGTTCTATAAAGTCAAACTCTTTGGTGCCTCTAAATACAATACAAAGCCTATAGAAAACAGGCTGCTAAAGTTGCAAGATAAGCAGGTGCACTATGAAAGGATTTCCTGTGCTTGACATTTCTTATCTAGTTTGAGGTTGCCCTCATGCACTATTCAATAGCTAAGGTTCAGCTCCTACTGAATCTCTTTTTGAAAGAAGGCAGAATTCATTCCAAAACCTGGCTTGTCTGTGAAGACCCAGCTGCCTTTCAGTTGTTCAGTTGCAGAGCTTTAAGGTCAAAATTCTCCAAAATGATCGCTGTTACAGGATGTCTACATTTCTTCGTCCTCAACTGGCAGCAAATTACAAAAGAAACTGTTCTTAGATTTCATGTAATAGGACTCCTGCTAGTCATGTCTGGAAAGGGTTACAGATGTTTCTAAAATTCCTGAACTCTTAATGAGTTTTCATGTAATATATATTGATCTGTTTCTTTGTCTTCACAGTTTGTGTATGGGGATACAGCTGTCACTCAGATGACATTCCTGCGCCTCCTTTCAAAGGAAGCTTCCCAGAACATCACTTACCTTTGTAGAAACAGCATTGGGTACATGGATGACCAGACTAAGAACCTGAAAAAAGCTGTAATTCTGAAAGGGGCCAATGACCTGGAGATCAAAGCGGAGGGAAACAGCCGATTCAGATACACCGTTCTGCATGACAGCTGTTCTGTAAGTTTGGGGTTTTGTAATTTGTTATTGCAGCGATACACTGGAGGAAACTCCTTGGTACTATGATAGACTGAGTTGGAAAGGAAAATGTTCCCCCAAAAATTCTTAGTGGGCATAAAAACTAGCAAGTAGTAGATTTTTTTCAGGTTCGTTAGCATTCTCAGCCAAGTCCAAGATACTGGCAAAACATTTCTAAAATCAGTTTCGCACTTGGAATAAATTGGAGTACGCTCTGTGCTTTAAAGTAATACAGCCCAAGAATATGTGTGCAGGTGCGTATTAACACATAGAGAAGAATTTTTAACATAAAGAAAAACCAAGGTACGGTGCAGGAAGGGGTGTGTTGCTTAGTGAAGATACAACGAGATCCTTCTGAACTGTCAGACAGCTGTCTTGCCAGCTGCAATTCAGGCTGTTTCTGACTTGAGCTCTGGCCTAAGTTGTTGGTTTTGTTTTGTTTTGTTATTTCCCTCCAGAAACGTAATGGGAACGTGGGCAAGACCGTCTTTGAGTACAGAACACAGAACGTGGCACGCTTACCTATCATCGATATCGCACCGGTGGACATCGGCAGCACTGACCAGGAGTTTGGAATTGAAATTGGGCCAGTTTGCTTTGTGTAAGAGGAAGGGGGGAAATTAACACACTACCCAGCAACAGCAGCAATTAAACACATGAACTTAGACTGATTGAAGTTAATCCTGAGACTCTTGAAGTAATGGCTGATACCGGATCAGCATTGTATATACAGTTCTTTTTAAATGCCCAGCCTCCTTTCGAGTATTTATTTTACTTACAAACCTTCTGTTTTAAATGATTGAAATCAACTTTTTAGTACAACAGTATAATTTTAAGAGGATCAATGACCACCTTTTAAAAGTAATATGCATCTTTTTCCTCACTTTTGTTTCAAATTATTTCAAAATTTAGAGGTATTCAAAATAGATAGTTTTAATATGGGACTACATAAAGCTCTAAGGATTATTTCTTCTGCTTGGATGCATACTGAGTAACAGAAAAGTAGAGCACTTTTGTGAACCGTTGGCTATATTTCAGTCATACCTGCTCCCTCAACCCCAGTTTGTCTTCCTGTGGTTGCCAGTGTGATAGTCATTAACAGAAATCTATGTCATTTGTGGAAGACAATCTCTTCAGACAAGATCATCTTAATTTGGCATTGTCTTTCCTGCACTTTCCTACGGAACAATCTGCTCAGAAGAGTATTCCGTAGCCCTGATTAATTTATGAAGTAAAAATACTACTGGGGTAAATACAAGTTGTCAGTAGGGGTGTCCCATATGTTAAAATTTAAGGTCAGACTTCACTTCTCGCAATGTGTCTTTGTAATTCTATTAAATTATCCTTCATGTTCAAAATACACCTTAAACCCAATACTTGTTGATTTTCCAATACTTGCCCATCTAAGAAGCCATTACGTATCAAATTATACAGACGTCTTATATACGGTGCCAATTTATGTATGCTGCAAATCATTCATGTGTATACCAGACCAATTGCTAATAAAGAGAAAGAAAGTTTAGAAATCCATTGTTTTTAGCTGACATCCAGCCATGCATCTCCAGTAATTTGACTTATTGGCCTTGAATTGTCAAGGCAAGAAAGTTCCATCGTTTCTTAGCATGAGCTACCTCATCTCTGGAAGTTGGGATGCATTTAATATTCCTATTTTTATTTTAGATATTAAAAGGTGCTATGCTTCTGTTGTTATTTCGAGAAAGGAGATAGGCAGGGCAAAAACAACAAAAAAGTGATGGTGCTACATGACTAGAAGGCTGTTGAAATAAAGCTGCCTGCTGTCAATGTCATTTTCCGAGCTTAGCTGTTAGGCTTATGGTGTTTGAGAGAACAATGTTACAGCGCATTTATTTGTTGGTCATACAGTATATAGAATGTTTTGTACCACTAACATGCTTTATTTTGTAAAGTATGTGGGTACAAACTTACTTAGGTTTTTTGTTTCTTTATTGCATCTGTGCTCTCCCATTTTTTTTGTTTGTTCCTTAAAAAAAAAAAATAAACAGCTGGGGCCATCCCTAAAGAAAGTCATGCACATAGCTTTATTCATGTATCTTTGCAAAGCATTTAATTAAATACATGCTTCTCGCTATGTAAGTGGTTTCCTTTCTGTAGAATTCCTTCCAGTGTGTCCCATATCGGTTAATTTCCAGGAAATTAAAAATAGAAGTATTTAACTTTTGTTTTGTTGCTATTTGAATAACTCATTTGCAATGCATTCTGCTGAAGTATTTGGTACATAGGAGTATAAAAGGATTTTGAATAATACCCTCTTTGTGCCAGTTTTTACAAGTTAGGTGTCGATTTGTGTGATGTGATTACCAGCAGCCCTATTAGAGCTACCTGAATAGTATTGTTTGAGACTCCAGAGAAAGAGAGTTTTTATTCAAGACTGAATAAAATGTGACTTAGCCAAATCCCAGTGTCAATGTAAGTTATCACTGATGGAAAACAGCTTCTGGAAAAGCCATGAAGTTGCATTGTAGCAAGGCAGGCAAGAACTTGCATTCCTTCCCTCCTCCTGGAAGGTTTGCAGTTTCCCAGGTTGTCCATGTGTGTGTCCCTGCAGGGCAGGTGGGGACTGGGAACCGGGCAAGTTGACAGGTTCGTGCTGGTGTTACTGGTTTATGATGATGTTACTGGTTTGGTTTTATTGGCCAAGCAGGAACTCTATGATTTCTTTTTGACTGTCATGAAATAATTTGTGTAAGTATGTGCCTCAGGACTTAGCTTATCATATTGGATCCTTGGGAAGGTTTGGATAACGTTACTTTCACTGGATAATTTGAGGTATAATGGCTCGCTCCAATGTGTTCGTGCAAAGGTGAATATCCCATGGCTGTGATCAGACCTCTACAAGACATTTATCCAGATGCACAAAATAAATAACATTTGGTGTATAGATGGATGTTTTAAAGTTATGGTTAATCTCTGATTTTTACCAGAGTTTTATAATCCATGATTAGTGTAAATGCTTTCTGACATTGTTGAAGGAGAAGAGTATTTAATGATGCAGGGTACTCTTTTATTTTATTTTTTTTTTTTAATCTCTCTTTGCATCTCTATCTCTGCATGAAGCATGCAGTGTTTCCTCAACAGGCTGCCTTGAACACTGCAAAAGAGCTTTAACTAGAAAGCACTCCAAGGTAATATTCTGTAAAAACCATCGCCAGAGAATCGCTGAAGCAAAATCTCACTTGAAGTGTGAGCTGTCAGGAAATCTGAGTAGTTAACTGGGGAGTCTTTGTAATGCAAGTGCTTGGACATGCTTTTTGGTTTTGTGGGTTTTTTTTCCTTCCCTTGACTATGTTTGTAGCATACGTGCATATTACATTTCTTTTCCTGTTTAAGCATTCCTCAAAGTATTGTAGAATCTTTTTAAGCAGACAAAAAAAAAAAAAAAAAAGGAAAAAAGGGTGGAGGGAATTTCACTCTCTTAAATTGCTTTACCTTTTATCCAGGCAATGTGGCATAGCTTCATGTAAATACAGCTTTAATTTCATGAACCTAGAATGGATAGAGCTGATAATTTGCAAAAGGTCAATTAATTTATAAAGTAACATTAAGCAAATATCAGGTATTTATGACAGATCTGTCTTTGTTGCAGATGGCCTCAGAAATGGTAGAGAAGGCAGTTTGGAGTGGTTGCAATACTATAATATCAGAAACTGCAATTAAATTAAATGTGAGTTATAAAAATTGGGTTTTGCTGTTGTTTTCCATAACGGACCTGTCCTCTGTGAGAAATCAACCCCAGGACTGCCAGTAGCTGACACCTTCTCTCTTGGTTTCTCAAAAACAGTTGTACAGTAGCTGTGCGGCAACTATTCACTAAAATCTCATCTAGAAGGTAAAATGCTGTTATAATTTGGCACTTACTGTGTGTGTACCTCAGCGGTGGGGTGGATGAGGTGGTGTTAGCTTGAGCATTTAAAGAAAGGCATTCGGATTCTTCTGTGATTTGATTTTAACCAGCTCGTCTGGATTTGCAGTGTTTGTTCTGAAGGTGCTTGGATCCTCACTGCCATGCTTTCTATCCCCGTGCCACCATAGCCTAGACAAACTCCCAGCCTGTGGATGTAATGACACAGCTGGTTACAGACTTGGGACCACACGGCGCCACCCTAGTGCGAGGGACCCTGTCCGTGGAACAGGAGCCCATCCCTTCTGATAGCTAACCAAGAACAAAAAAAAGCGGCCAGGGATGAAAAGCAGCAGCATTGGTCTCTAGGGCTGTGAGATTTTTTTAATAGTAATTTTTCACCCTCATGGCTTAGATTTTAAACAGCTGCTCTGTAGAATCCATTTTGGACTTATTTTTTCAAGCAGTGTCTCCTAACACGGGCCAGTTTTTACAGTGTGTTTTACTTTTAGATTTCTTTCAAGATAAAATTTGGAAAGAATACATTCTTGCTGAGGGAGGAAGAAATGCAAAAGATCTTTCAGATATGCTCAGTGGTCCTTGGAGGTTATGATAAATGTTCTCAGAAATGAAAAAGTTTACCTGCAAGCACAATGAACAAAGAATTGAGATTCAAGTATTGCTGAGCATATTCTTATTTGGCTATTGGCTATCTTTAGTGTTCTTCCACCTTTATATTAAATATATATTATATTATGTAAGAAGTTTGATAATGCCTTCTCCCAGGCTTTCTCTCTTTTATTCCTGCTTGACATTTTCTCTTAATTTATTTTGAGCAGAAAGTGATGCAGAGGGCAGAACAGACCACACTGTTCCAGTTTATTGGTTATATAAAGAAAAAAAATGTCCTTCCTCCTTCTGTATTTCCTAGAGGAGCCCATCTCTGAATGCATCTGTCCAGTGTGATCCCAGCCTCCCTGCTGCATCAGAGCCTTCTTGCTGAGAGGTCTTTACACTGAGCAGTGCTGGATGCTCAGTATGCCAGGGAAACAGGGAATTGATGGTTTAAGTCCTCTCTGAACAAAAGAGGGTTTTTTCAAATCACAGTTTTAGATTTATGCACCTCAGTTTTAAAGTGACTGTGAGGAAGAGCTTACATTTGGGTGGAATGTTTGCTCTTCAGAAGGGCTGGAAGAGTTCAAGATGCATTTCCTCCACCCTCCTCCCATACAAACCTTTCCCCTTCTCTCCCACTTTGGCACTCCCCCCTAGCTCTGGGGTTATTCTGGTGTCACTGGGTGAATCAGAGCATAGGCTCAAATCTCATGGCCTCTCCCTCCCAAACTCCTTCCTTGCATCTGTTAGCTTCCTCGTAGCTATCATAAGTACTCATTTTTTTAATACTAATCTATAGAGTACTGGGAATACGATAGGCAGTAGAGGAATGCACCAAGGAACACAGAAATGCAAGAAAGAAAATTGTCATGGTGTTACAGCTGGAAACACCACAACCCAAGTCTACCAAGTATAGCAATAATAGAGTGAGGAAGCGTTTTGCTGTATGAAGGCAAGAATCTAAAAATGGGTTAAAAGCAAAAAGTATTATTTTCCTTATTAATGTTAGGCAAGGGCCCTGAGGTTTCTTTTATTTCCTCTAGCTGCCTGAGATTGAGCAAAGTAGTTATTGGGCTGGTAAACACTCTCGTAATCTGTGGAATTTATCAATTTTTCTTTCAGGAAATGAAGGCTATACTGAAGGTTTAATGCTCACTAGGCAGTTGGTCTTGCTGAGAGAGGCTGTATTTATAAAAAGAATAGGACTCCAGGAAGACAGAGTAAACCAGTTGCAAAAGGAAAAGCAGAGCTAAATGGAAATGTAGAAATGGCAATGGAAGAAAAGAAAGATTTCCTGCAAGTAGGCAAATACCATAGAGACCATAGAGAAAACAAGGTAAAAAAATATAGTATAAGCTGGGATGGGTATTATCACAAAAAAAAGTCACGACAACAGGTAAAACAAAATCACCAGTTCAATAGCTGAAATAGAAACGCCAAAGAAACTGCTGACCCATGGACCCAGTTGGCCAAACTGTGTTTATGCTACAGGAAAAAAAAAAAAATTGGATTTATGTGTTCAGTGGATCACAATTTGTTTGCTAGGAGTTTAAAGATTTTGTTGAAGTGTGTGATTTCAAGCATATTCTGCAGAGTTCAGAATATCCACAAAGGAGCCTTCTTGAGCAAAATCATTAGATGGGTACCACAGAGTTCGATTCAGTTCCTGAAAAGGCAGAATGTTTTTAGCCACCCTATTTTACCTGCTGTCATGCTATTCAGAAATTTAGCTCGTGTTAAAATGAGAGATAATGCTTACTAATGTATCAAATAGAGATCGCGAGAACCGTTATGAGGAATATGATTAATTATGGCTCAGAATCACCCCCAGTAAACCCTGACTGCCCCAAGAGAGTGTATGTATGGTCACATAGGGAAAACGGGGTACAAGAGAGCAGCTTTCTTGTGAAGTTGCTGCTCTTTCCTATGGGGTGATTATTGGCCAATATCTTTGGGAACAGTAAAAAAATCTGCTTTTTCCACAAGCCAAACACGAAAGGACACAGTAGAGCCAATGGATTGGACAGTGTTGAGGAGGACCTGAGCAGAATGATGCAAAGATTAAAACTGAAACGCTTTATAGATTTACACAACATAGGAGAAAACTCGGGGGGCTTGACTGCTAAGGTGTCTGTTGTGCTGTCAGCATTGCATGTTTTATCATTTGTGGGGAGGAGATCTGGAAAAGTATGAAGGTACCAGGAAATGCTAATTTGAGCCAGATGCTGGAAGAGTCAGTTTTTTCCTCCATCTCTGACCTGTTAATTTATTGCACATTTTATTTTAGTTTCCTTGCTGTTAGAGTAGGAAACCATCTTTCTATAAGCTCTGGTTTAAGGTTTCTCCAAATAGTATTTCATGATCATTGCAATCTGTTGTGTTCTCAGTCTCAGAGAATGGTGCACTATTAAATGCTTCTATTGCAAAATGAGTTCCTCAGTTGAGGTGTTACTATCCATCCTCCAGAGAAGAGGAACAGCCTTATTTTTGGGAGTGTTTGTGCCAAAAAAACCCGTGCAAGGTCATGTCTGACAAAGTGTCACAGAACTGCTTTTTGGCCTTGGTCAACTGAGTGAAAAATCTGATGCAAAACTAAACAATTATAACAAAAGAACATTATTACAATTCTAGAAACTTCAGCAAAATATTTTTATGTGTTTGGTAAGGAGCAGTCCTCCCTATGACAAAGAAACATGACACTGACAGAAGATTGTGACAATTGTAGGAGCCATCATTGTAATTTAGGAGTTCCTTCCCTCTGAAGAGCATGCTGTGTGATTCTACACAACCATCAGAGTAAATCAGAAGCATTCCCCGCTGTCCTATCAGTTCAGCCATTTCCCAATAGGAATCTTAATCTCTGCTTTGCAGATGCTGCCAAACTGAGAGGAGGAAGGAGCAGACTTTTTCAGGTATCTTGGAGTTACTATAGCATAGAGAGTAAGGCTGAAGTGTGAGTTATGATGAGGACATCAAAAAAACCCCACTGAAACTAGAACATCCCCGTGCCTCCAAGAGGCATCTGTTAATGATGGTGTTCTCAGTGGATGTGGATATAGATCCAGCATGGATTTAGCAACAAAACTCAAGTTTTGACCCTTAATGCAGAGATGTCCATGGCTAAGGGTATACTGAAAGGTCACACAGTTTCTACAGGTTTTCTTTAAGAGTGTAACAACATAGAATCATGGACATCTGATTACAGGCACATGTTAAATTAAATTGCTAAATCATTATAAAAATATTTCATACATTACTGTATTGTAAGATCTGTGCAACAAGTGCCTCATCGGTCACGTTTCCAGAAGAGAGGCACTTGATTTAAAAATTGGAGCCTGCCAGACCTGACTTCTTTCCTGGTGAAAGGAAATGGGTATGTTATCTGTAGTAAGAAATATATTCTAATTTGGTGACTACAATGAAGCTGTGTTACTGCCATAAATAAGAACCAGTCCTCCAAAATAACACATTTTCCATCTTACAGAAAGGACCACTAGAAATTAAATTTCTCTACTTAAGCTATCAGAACAGCCATAGCATGGCAAAGCATGCATTGGGAAGATCTTTATCCTTTATGAATTCAAAATTCTCATAGACAGCTCTTCCTCTAAGTTACTGCCTGCTAATAGAGGCTGAAGACTACTTAGCTGATGTCACAACGATGTGATGGTTACAGATTACACTGCTGTTTATTTAATTGTCCAGCTTCTTTTTTTTTAGTAAGGCAAGCTTCTGATAATTAGCCAGCTCCCAGAAAGATTCCTAGTAGCTATTTGAATTCAGAAACCATCACAACCCAGTTACTAAGCAATCGTTTGCCCCAGCCTGGTTCTAGCTGCAAACTTACTGCTGAGGTGCAGAGCTGCAGAGACGCAAACTCATTGAACGGCTCTTCCCTTGCCCGTAGCTGTCCCACGGTGGTCACCTCCACGGGGGAGGACTGCTGAAGCCAGGCTGCTTCTGCAGTGATTTCCCATGCTACACCCAAGGGCTGTGAAAGGGTGTTTGTGGTGTTTTTAAAGCAGTGCTGGGAGCTGCGCAGCTGCTGGATGCGGTGGCCATGGAGAATGCCTTCCCTGTCACCCAAAGGGAGGGGAGGCTGGGTAAGTAAGTGTTCACAGGTGTGAATCAATTGTGTAAAATTTAGGCCTGACCTGATAGCAAAGGTTTTCTGTTAGAGAAGGGTTTGCTGGATTGTTGTTGTGTTTTGGGTCTTCTAAACGTAATTTCCATAAAGAATGTAGAAAGTAGGTATTGAAATGTCCCTATGCCTCAGACAATAGTCAGGGAATCCACGTTCACCAGAGGAAAAGCTCTGTTGTCCTGGGGGAGAGTTACACCTTTAGGTGATAACCTCCAATTAATTGAAAAGGTGAAATGCCAAGGAAATATTAAAACCTAGATTAGTGATATCTTAAAGCTGTTGGTGTGATCTAGGAAATTCTTTGAGGCAGGGTCTTGTTTTGGGTTTTTTGTTTTGTTCCGTTTCTTGTTTTCCCTAAAGAGCTGTAGTAATGTGGTGCCATGAAGTGTGTGACTATCAACTGGTGTAACCTGTGACTGAATAAGAAGCTGGGGCTGGGAATGAGAAATTTTTTATGTCAATCGTATCACTGTGTGGGCAACTTCTTTCCTTGTTTGTTCGTGCCTCTCGGCTATGTAGACTACAGGTTTTTGTCCTTTTTCTCCAATACAGCTTTAAATTTATAAGCCAAAGGAAGATGTGCTTAAATATGCACCTAAAAAATCAACTTACCTTAGAGCTTAAAAGCGGGTGCTGGTGTTTCTGTTCAGCCTTGAAAGACCTCTAGTAGTCTAGGAACTTGATGTGTTGCTCTGGAACAGTGAGTAATGGCACCACTAGCCTAAAAGTGTCAGGTAAGATTATTTTTTTTTTTTTGTAATTATATTTCCTGTGTAAAAATAAAAGCTAGAGCCTTTTGCAGGCTGGCACAGTAAATCAGAGTTAAAAAAAATAAATTGCAAACTACATCTTCCAAAGGCTAGCCTTATTGTTTAAGCTAATTCTTGTTTATTAACCTGATGTGTTTCATATTTCTATTCTCTCAAAGACCTTTCTATAAAAGTACAGTAGTATCAGCATCATAGTGGCTTAGGAAGTGCCCCTCTGAAAAAAAAATGAAGGTATTTGGATCATGTGAATTATTTTATGGTTGTCTTGGCGATTTCTTTGTGGTTTCTGCAAATGTTCCAGTAATCACCTTTCATTAGTAGAAATTATTACTCAAAGACTTGATGACTATATGTTTTCTTCAGAAAAAAAAATTTTAAGGTTGAGTAATTGCTACAGTCACTCAGACACAGTAGTACTGGAGACTACAGAGGCTTTCCTTTTTTTTTTATTTTTTGCCATGTGGATTAAGAACAGGTTTTCCAATGCATTTTTCCACCAGCCAGTACCTTTACCAGCTGCTTTCATAAAATTTCAGCTCCCAGCAAAAGACTTCCTGCCATGTAATTTATGTCAGATTAATATTATTACGTACACGTAAGTCTCAGTTTTCACAAACGGTAGCTATTTTCACAACAAAATGAGGAGGTCCTGTGAAAGCCAGTATTTCTTATGAATTGTTGGCACTATTCTTTTATGTTGCGTTAAGTACAGTCATGCCTGTGTTGATTTGTGCCAGTAATTGTTACAATAACAATATATTAACTATAAACCCTGGCTTATTAACTGGAAGAAACAGATACAAATAGGAAAATAATAAAAAAGTCAGTTTTATGAAACAAGGAGTTTTATTAAGATATTTTATTATGTGTCTCTGTAAGGAATAGACCAACAACCATATAAAAGCTTACAAAGATGGTTAACCTTCAACACTATAAATGTGTTAACGTGACAGAAATAGTTCACAATTTTGCATCTTTATTGACTTTTACAGAGTGAAGGGAGAAAGTTCTCAACTATGACATGCCAATGATGATCTTTGACAGGAGACATTTGTAATTGCTTTATATCCTTTACCTTTTTTTTTCTTTTTTAAGCAAGTCAATAACCCTGACTTGCAAAGTTAGGAGTGAAAAATACATTAGCACCATCATATTAGTCTTTTACACTTCCCTAATTTTAGTGGTCTTGACCAGCAATGACAGGAAAGTAGAGAAGCACCTTTGATAACAGAATACAATCCAACAATAAAGTTCTGGTGACTACTGACATTAAGGTATTAAACTCTTCAAACACACTGTACTTTTTCACAGCTAATCAGTACAGAAATAGGCAATTTTCTACCAAATGATTCCACTGAATTGACCAATGGGTCCAATGTGTTCTGATTGATTTGTTTGATTGATTTTTGGATTGACTAGTCAGACACATCCCAGTTTCTGTCCATGTTGAGGTAGTTGAAACAGGGAGGTCATTCTAGCTTTATGGACTGCATCTTAGAAAGAAGGGTAAACTTTGGTACTGGGATCAATCAGTGCTTTGTAAATTGGCTAACATTCAACTCATAGAACACAGTGTTGTTTTATTAAGTGTTGAAGTTGTATTATAGCACCACGGAGACATGTTTTGAAGATGGAATTTGGTAAAAAAAATAGAGCAAAAAAAGCATTTTTATTGTACTTTGTGTAATAGCGAAAAAATTAACCCTTGATATCAAATTGATTTTTCCCCCAGAAATTTTGTTAATAAATAACTGGGATACAGATGGTCACCTGTACGAGCTGACAAGGCTAAAACAAAGGAGCACAGTTGGAGTGTGAATCTGTTTGCTGGGGTTTCAGAAAGAGCAGGATCTTTGATTTATAAGAAGCAGACCGGGCCAATGTCCACGCCAAATTCCTGATCAGGACCACCAATATCTATGGGTGCAATATCAACCACAGGCAACCTCATTGTCTTGCGCGTTCTGTATTCAAAGACTGTTTTGCCCCATTCACCAGTGTGTTTCTGTGAAGTTAGAAAGAAAAGAAAATTAAAAAAAAAGGCATTAGAGAAATCAGTGTGGGGCTATGTGCAAGTTATCCTCCTGTTTACTGGATTTCATACTTTCTCGTTTGATATTAAGGTGTCCCTCTCAACACCGTGAAAACTGGTTGCAGGTTCTGCAGAAATGAACGTGTAGGCAGACATTCTTCATTTCTGGATCTTTTACGTGAGGTTTGTGGGGCTGGAGACCTTGTGGCTCAGAAGGGATGGGGTCCCTGATGGACAGTGGAGTACCCTGGAGTGGTGCCAGGGCCCCGACTTAGGACTGAAACCTGCTGGGAGATGGCACAAATGGCTATTCTGTTTGGACAGTGGTTTTGGCCTCGGGAAAAAGTGACAGCATGTTCATGTCAAAGAAATGGCCACAAAGTAGCTGCAACGTAGATGTGTTCATGCATCCTTAAGCAGCAGGTTTGCCATCTATGTTGGTGGTTGTTGTGCTTTTGGGACCTTACACAGTAGGAGGGAGAAACTGTGGATGGTGTTATGGCGTTTTGTGTTTGTTACTGAGAAGGCTGCAGATGCTCAAACATCAGCATGCTCATGGATGTTACTGCTCCTCTCCAGCACTTTCTGCTGCAGTGAGCTAGACCCAGTGAAGCAATGGTGCGCCTGTGAAACGACAGTGTTTGCCCCTTCCCATAATCATAGCCCAGGGCTCAAATCAGCCAGCCTTGGTTGTTTGGTTTTTTTTTTGTATGATTAAGAGGGCTCAAATCAGCCAGCCTTGGTTGTTTTTTTTTTTTTGTATGATTAATATAGTTCCTACTACTCTTGGACTTGACATGGGATGGATCAAAACTTGGTCAGTGTGACTTCACTGACTTTGTCTCTAAAGCAAGGAGATACCTGCAAAGCCCAGATCTAAACTTTCTGAGGTGCACTCCCACCTGTAGCACAGTTGCTCCGGGAGGGACACTTCTGGTGTACAGAATCTAAATTTCCCCAACTGGATGTAACTGTATCCTTTCTTTACCCAGGTCATGCAAAGCCCTCTCTTCCTTTATTATGGGTCTAGTCAGTCTAGTTGTCTAGAAGGAATTATTAAACTACCATACTGAAGTCTTGTTTACTTACAGTACAGCCATCTTCCAGAACAGCGTACGTGAATTTGCTATTTCCTTCAGCCTTGATCTCGCTTTCCACAGAGCTCATCAGTTTCAGAGCTTTTTTAACATTTCCACTGGCTTCATCCATGTAGGCGATGCTGTTCTTGCAGTGGTAGGTGATGTTCTGGGAGGCGCGGCTGGAGAGGATGCGGAGGAAGGCCAACTGAACTTCCGAGACATCCTCAGGAAGGTCAGGATCTCCGTAGCTGAACTGCAGAGTACAACATATAAGCAACAGGTTTTGTTTAATTGTGTCTAGGGACAGTCCGTATAGTTATTATTTCACACACTAAAAGTTTAGCTTAGTTTAATTCCAGGATTATATACTCGTACATTGCAATGTGTGGTAGTACAAAATGTGTGGTACCTTTGGGGCTGTTAACTGTAGTAACTTCTTACCTGGAAGCCCCCGTTCATAGATTCTCCAAACCAAATGTGTTTCTTTCCACTGCTTTCACTGGTCCACCAGTTTTTCCTGGACACTGTGCTGGGGTTAGCACTGAGGCATGTCTCCCCAGTTTCCATGTTACAGTATACTTTAATAGCATCCATCTTGCAGCCTTGGTTAGGATCAATCCAGTACTCTCCTAGAAGTAAAAAAAATGTTAAGGGGCTTCATATATTTGGAGAAGAATCTGACTGCTTATTTCCATGCCAAATTCCTGAGCCAGATTAGGAACCATATTAATTGTGACAGAAGAGATGCCACAGAAAATGAGATGATATAAAAATACACTGAGGTCATGTGAATGAATGTAATATGACTGACATTTGAAAGATATATAGAACTTATACTTGTCATGGGTGTTTTTCCATAAAATTATTTAAACAAATGTTCACTTGTAAGCATCTAAGGAGTGGAGCTGAAGTCAGTGTAAATGCGTAGTAAATTAAATTTTTAAATTGTTATTACATTTATAATCTTTATCATGGCATTTGTTAAAAAAAAATCAAAATTTTATAGCAGATCTCTGCATTTAAATACTCAAAGACAATAGCATTCATGAAAAGAAAAACAACATCTGCTACCATTGGTGAAAATAAAAACCGAACCATACCACTCTTGAGCTCAGGATGGCAGAATTTCAGATCTCTGCAGTTACGGGCTGGATTCTTCCGTGACCCATCGGGACTAATGATGTTTTCAATCTGGTTATTAATTGACTTCATTGAAGATATGATGTCACCCAGATTGATATCATTTTCTTTTGGCTCATCTCGGTATTCATACCCATAGCCCACTGGACCTTTTTCACCAGCACCCAGGGCAGCTGCACCACCACAGCATGGACCAGGAGGACCAGAAGGACCAGGAAGACCAGGCTGGCCTGGTGGACCCTAAAAAGAATGGTGAACATAGCACTCAGTAGAGATCACAGGTTAAAACTAAAAGTCTGCATGGGCCCTAATCTTAAAAAAAGGAGAATTCACACATACACATTTAATTTACTTATGAATTAAATAATGGCACTTGCTATGTACAAACATCTGTTGTACTTTCCAGGCTTTTATCTTCCTAAAATTGGAATTTTCTTTTCCTAATTTTGTCAAGCTGGGCTTTGAGAAGGAGAAGGAACTCTTTCCACCAAAATCCAGAGAATAACCATTTCCTGGCTTTAGCAGAAGTGACTATGCCAGGGATCTTTGCTGTGCTGGCCTCCCTAGTGTAGGAAACCCTCTTCATAGCTTCCAGGACACAAAGGGAGACTGAAGTGGAGATCCTGCCTTCCCGTTGTACACAGAAATGTCAATGATTAGCTGAGACTAACACAATGCCCAGTGCATCAATAATTGCACTGAACTACAAGTGATGTGTATTTTTTTGGATTTAGCCTTGATAGCTAGATACCTGCTCCCACAAACTCTGTCCATGAAGTACAGGATTTTCTGAGGGAGATATTTAGGTGGGAGCGCACCCCCTATGTTCCATGAATAATCCCTGAAGATTTGTTTGTTTGAGTGTGCACACTTTACTTACCGCAGGGCCACTTTCGCCTCTGGTACCGCGAGGGCCGGGAGGACCAATTGGACCTGGATAGCCACTTGTACCATCTTTTCCAGGGGGCCCAGCTGGGCCTGGGGGACCCTAGAACAATGTTGAACATAAATAATATGGTCAAAATAGTTTACCAGATAATCTCAAATTCAGAAGTACTTTGTGAGGTATTGAAAACATTTCTGTACAATTTATCAGGAGTCTTTCTTCAGCTGTTGCCTGTTAAGATTGCAAATTAAAAAAAAAAAAAATTTAAACAGTCTGAATCCTCCTTCCAGTTATGCTAGGTAAGGAGCTTTTCTTACCCTTGCACCCGAAGCTCCTGGACTTCCAATTGCGCCTTGTGGACCCAGGGGACCCTATGAAGAAAAGATAAGTAAGTCATACACCTCCCAGTAATATTTTGTATCTAGCTAGATATACCTTAAATAGAGACACTGAAACATCTTTAAGATGATATGAAATCTGACATCCTTATCAAAGGCCTATGTCAGATGTGAGAAAGAATGGTTGCCATTCGTTAACCAGAAAAAAATATCAAATGTTCCCTATATGAAAAAGTATTAGTGATGCAATATCATCCAAAATGCAGAAAGCCAACTGACATCAGCAAGCTTTGGATGAAATATTGTATTCACAAGAACACATAGCTATAGGCTCAAAATGTTGTGTATTACCATAAAATCATATTACTAGTAAAGTTATTTAAATAATTTGACACTCATGTTTTCAAATGCATTTAAAAAATTACTGTATGTACACACCACACAGAACTAAGCCATATGTTTAAAAATGATTCATCATCTCGCTGTCAGAGTGTAAATGAGAATTTATCAGACTTTTTTTCTACTCCTAAGTGAGATAACAAGTTATACTGTGCTGTTATTGGTGACATTTATAGTTAACACTTCCCTCTTTTTTGCCATCTTTGGTAGATAACTAGGTGAGTTTGGGTTCCTTGATTCTCACTTGTATCATGAGAGCTATTAACAGTTCTTTTCAATACATATCCCTCTTAAAATTTTTACTTGTCATAAATACCTAGGGCATGCCTGTCTGTTACCCTTCAGTTCTTTGAGCCGTGAACTGTTCAACATGGTAATGCATGTTTACAATTCAGTAGTCTACAAAGAAGTTTACAGTTTCATGCCCATTTTGCCCCAGTATTAATTACTGCAAAAGACACAAGACAGAAGAGAGGTCTTTGGACTCTGAGTAACTTTTTCACGGATTTAGATGTCTGTCTAACATAGATTTCTAATAGACAAATATTCCAATGCCTATTTCTATCTTGTTTAACTTAATGAGGAATAGCATATATAAATGAATGGCAAAAGTGTTTGTTCCAGACAATGTAGCTGAAAGCGATTTTGGCAAACCCAGCTTTAGCTCCTAGAATCTTCTTCCAGTTCTTCATTAACACTTATTTTGGGTTGATTCAGGGAATCTGGAGTTTTGAACACATTTGACAATCAAATTATACAGGTTCTTTGCACTTTTTTTTTTTCTTTCCTCAGTAAATTAGTTAAGGCTAACTAGTTACCTGGGACCCAAACCACAGGAACAGCTGTAATTCCCAGTCCAATTCAAAATACTCACAGGAGGACCAGGGAGACCAGGGGTACCAGGAAATCCTCTGTGACCCTTTATGCCAGCGCTGCCTCTTTCACCAGTTTCACCTTTATCACCACGAGGACCTTGAGGACCCTTTAAGAGTAAATTTGCAATAGAAGGAATGTAAAGAAATAAGAAAGATGCCCAAATAACAGGAAATATGATATCACAAATACTTTAAATATGACTTACAGCAGGACCTCGAGCGCCAGCAGGACCAGCAGAGCCAGGAGGACCAGGTGGACCCTGTGACACAGTAAGAATAAGATGGCATGGATCACTTGGATTGACTAGACTGCCTTTTTATTTCCAGATAAGCAGTATGTTCAAACCCAGCAGCTGTTTGGAAACAAGGGGAAGCTCCATGCACACATAATCAGCAAGAATTTTGGTCAGCTCCTTTTTCTACCAGTGTTAGACTTGCTCAGCTGCTTGTAGGCACTGATACATACCACGTGCATTACACCCCTTCTTCATTTTGTGAGGTGCTCAGTGCTCAAGTTGTGCTTGTGTCAGGACTTCTCAGAAATAACTCGAAGGCTTCCAAAGTTACTCCCTTAGTTTAAATAAATAACATCACTTGTGCTGCATGAGCACAAGATGGGATGGAAATTCAGATAGGGCCTGGTGGGATGATGTGCTTTTTGGCATCCTAAGGAGTATGTGGATTTTGCACTTAATTTATATACAGTTATCAGGAACATAAACTGTGATGTCTTTCCCCTTGATAGGCTTATAAAAGAGGTGCTTAATGCCAAGAAACTATGACAGTAACACATGTATGACTCTTCTAAACTTCCACTTTATTACAGCATGAAATGGACTTTGCACAGGAAAGATATGTAAGTAAATCAGTAAGCCATTTACTTTGGTCTTACCTGAGATCCTCTTTCACCAGCTTTTCCGGGTGCACCGCTGGTACCTGCAGGTCCAGGATGACCAGGAGGTCCCGGAGGGCCAGGAGAGCCACTTTCACCACGGTCACCCTGCAAATAGTCACAGTTGACAGGATAAGAGATTTAATGTTTTATAGAACTACAGTGTAAAGAGTATATTCAGTGGAGCATAAGAGATTCAAGGAAGAAGTTACATTGTGCAGAACTAGCTACATATATTATCATCTCTAAATAACATTTATCTGGCAAACTAAAGATTCCAAAGAATAGAATTATTCCTTACTTTGCCTCCTGGGGAGCCATCACGTCCAGGCAAGCCATCTGAGCCAGGATTACCCTGGGAAAAAAGAGTGGTACAGTTTGTTCATGAGCTGGATGATGAACAGACAGCTTGTTTTCTAGTAAACTTAAATAATGCTCATCAAAGAAAGAGCAAGTTTTCAAGAAGGAAGAGTTCCTGGAAGGGGAGGGGCCCATGAAAGCTCTATCAGTCCTGCATTATTTTGTAGGTGTATGGACAGTGCAGTCTCTTGTTCAGTTCCAAGTGAGACAGAGACATGGTCCACAGGTAGTAAGAAGTGTAGCAGAGACAGCAGGCTGTACCACCTTACATGAGGACGTCATCTGCCCAGGCCCCTGTGCATCAGGCACTTGAGAGAGGCTTTGCGAACCTTGAAGCACATTCAGTCCCCAAGTCTCCTGTTCGTAAGTCATAAGCTAGCAGGAACGGCTAACACATCCACTCACATCTCTGCCGGGCTCTCCAGGTAAGCCTCTTTGTCCAACAGGACCTTGTGGGCCAGGTGCACCGCGTTCTCCTGGGAGACCGTTGGTGCCTGGTGTACCATCTGCACCCTGAACAAAAGGGAAAGGATTTTATTGCAGATAATGTACCTACGAAATACCATCATGTTATACATCTCTAATGAAATATGCAGTGATGATGAAGGAGACCTAATAAAGTGAAGGGCCAGTGTGACTTTGGTGATTGTGAATAGTCAAAATAAGAAAGAAAAAAAACTTGGCCAAACTGGTCTCTCTTCATCGCTAGTTATACTCATGCAAAGCCATTGAACCCAAGGAACATTCCTTCTTGTTTTCTCAGCTAAGAAATTATAAATGGGTATGTCTTTTCTTACATGCCCAAAAACAATAGCCAAAGTAGTTAACAAAAAAATGCTGGTCTATCACGATATTAGTGATAAAATACAAACCAAGCCTCATACCACCTTTTCTGGAGGGAGGTAAAAGTATTTTCCTGTTTGGGTCATAATATTTGAGCAAGAAACAAGATGACCATCAAACAGCTTGCAGAAGGTGAAACTATGACTCAGTTCTTGTCTCAAGGAGAGTTCAGAGCCCATTGCCCTCCTTAAGTGGGTGAAGCTGGTTATATACGTCTAGATAATCTGATCCAGGATTCTTGTCAACAGAGATTAAAGTTAACCTCACACCCCACAGCTGCTGGTTACTGGACATTTTAAAGGCTGGTCTTATGGATGTAAACAAAAATAACTGTAAATTCTGTAGTATCTGGACTAAAAATACATCATGTTCATTACTTTTTATAACACAAAGCTATTTTTAGCAGCTGGATTACAGTCGTTGTGTTAGCTTTGAGGCTGTCACTGCAGTGAATGTGCTCTCACCTTGGCACCCGCCATACCGGGTGGACCGCTCGGGCCACGCAGACCTGGCAAACCTGTGTTACCCCGGCCACCAACGATGCCTTGAGGACCCGGTTCTCCTGGTGCCCCCTGTTTAGGAAAAGGTCAGATCAGTCAGTACTGAGGATCTGCAGCATGAGGTAGGTGGCTTCTTATTCTTGACAAATGTAACCCCTGTCAGTCAGTATAACAGTCCCTGGCTAGACATGTACTTACCCTTTCTCCTCGTGCGCCTGGTGGCCCTTTTTCGCCTGGTGTGCCGGGCTCACCTCTTGTTCCAGCAGGTCCTGGACTGCCAGCAGGACCGGTGCTACCAGGGGGTCCAGGAGGCCCATCCTTGCCTGCAGGCCCTGCATTACCAGGGGGACCTGGACTACCCTAAAAGGAGTTTTAAAGAGAAGAGTGTGAACTGTGTTCTCTGGAACAGTAGCACATGCCTACTGGTGTTGATCTTTCCTCAGGAAAGCCAACCAGACTTGATTCATTGCCTGAAGGTGGATTTAGGGTCCAACCTCTATGCACCCAAATCTGATCTGGTCTTAGAATCCTTTTGGCTTCCACTTTCAAACGTTATTTTTTCTCCCTACTGTCCAAACATACGGTTTGCGTAATGCAACACCTGCACAGTTTGGATGCCCAGTGTTTTTAATGCATCTAACACAGGATACATGTTTCTTACCCAGGGCTCTGCCAGGTAAGTTTGAAATAGTTGCAGACCCTGCTGATTTCTTGAATCACTTATGCTGGATACCTTTAAGGTGGTGTCTTGGACAAGTGCAGAGTGAAATGGCTTTAATTAAAAGTCTTAGCCAATGAATGGAAAGAATTATGTTGACTTTAACAGTACCTTAAATAAAATCCTACTTCTTATTTTATTCATCACTATTGTAATTTGCATCTCTCTGTAACTATAAGAGAGAAAATAAAAATATTTATTCAAACATAAGAGTTTCCTTACTTTGTATCTCATTTACCATACAACAAAGGATAAGTTATAATTTTGATTTTAAAATGGGTAAAACGATGGTAATCTTTGTATTTTCTTAATTTTTAAAAGACTCAAGAATCAGAATTAGTTTTTACTATGTGAGTCAAAAGTAGGTGCATGTTGAACATGCAAGGATATTATGAAACAGCTTTTCTTCACACAGGTATCATAAAATATTGGAATTAGCTGATGCATCAGCATACATTTTTATAATAGGACACTGCAGACTGGTACACTGAACTTCAGATGTAGGCCGTACCATAAGAGAGAAAATTTGCCACAAGAATCTTTCCAAACGCCTCCGTCACAAGATAATTAAGTTTTATGCCATTTCATTCTACAGACAGCTAAAAAAAAGTTCTCAACAGTGATCTACAAAGTGTAGTTTTGAAAATGCAAATCAATTCAAGATCCTGAGACGAATATTTCTTGCATCATTGAAGAGCAAGAGAGAAAACATGATGTCTACCACCAACAGAAATACTCAAGGACCTGATCCAGGAGGACTCCACTTACCCTGATAGGCTTTGGAAAGCAAAACATAATACAAGAAGTGAATTAATTGCTTTTCCATATGAAAGAAGAAGAGAGTAAACTATCTTTTGCAGATTTTTTTCCCTAAGGCCAAACATATTCAGAATGCTTTTGATTGTGTTGTATTCATGTCAAGGTACATACAGCTTAATATAGTCTAATATATTAAAATATGCCAAAATATATCCATGAGGTAAGAAAAAAAAGAAAAGCGGGATAAGACAACTTACATTGCTACCAGGGGGACCAGGTAGACCACGAGCACCAGGGAAACCAGCAGCACCCTATAAGAGATCAATACTTTTAGTTGCCATTTTTGGAAGATTGGAAAAACATGAACAAGTTCATTTTTATACAACAACTGACTTTGAATTATATTTATCTGTTTTGCTTAAAACCAGAATTAAATGTCCTGGAACTGAACAAGAAGTTCACTTTTTTTTTTAAGAGAAAGTCCCATATATTTCTCAAAGGTGAACTAATGAGCTCTGATAAACTTGGCAAAGATGGCACGTAAATCTAATAACTGTTGAGATAAGCCATTTTATAGCTTTGGGTCATTGTGCCAAAAGCTATTTTGGCACCTTACTTACATTAAAATCAATGTAATCCAGGTCACTAAGCACCTCAACTTTACTCCTTCTAGAACACTTTAATTATTCTTGAACTGCAGATATTAAAGTAACTGATGGTCTTGTTTTTAATTTACATCATGGTTGTTGTAATAGAGTAATTTATCAGTGACTAAGTCAAAGAGATACTCACAGGGCCTCCAGGAGATCCACGTTCTCCTTTTATTCCTTGGGGACCAGGTGGACCCTACACGGAAGGAAATAGATAAAGCAATTGATATGATAAATAGATTAAAATTACAGGAAGTGTCATTAAGTCTCAGGCAGTTCAAATGCTTTGCACTTGACCCCAGCAACCTTGAGGCTGAGGGAGAACTTAAGAAACCTCTCTTTGTAGCAATAAGGAACCGCAAAAACTTACTGGTGCACCAGGACCACCTTGTGGACCTGCAACTCCAGGGGGTCCAGCCTCTCCTCTTAGACCAGGTGGGCCTCTTTCTCCTTTCCCACCAGGTTCCCCATTTTGGCCCTGTAGAAAAAGGATGTTGTTATTTTATGAATCAAAAAATGCAGATGATATCACTGTGATAAAAAAGCCTAGTCTTCTGAACAGAATTTAAATATTAAATTAAATATGAATGCAGTTGAACTCTATTGGTCTACCAGTATAGGAAAGGAAGGATAAAAAAAATTTATCTACATGTGACTGAGTACAGAAAGGGTAGCACATGCATCAAATGTATGCAGCAGGTATGTATTATAAAGGGGTTACAGCAAACCTTTCTGAGATGTGGATGTACTTAGAGAAACTAGAAACTTGATAATCACGTTCAATTGCTTTTAAGTATTTATACTTACTGGAGCTCCAGGGAAGCCAGCAGGTCCAGGAAGACCTTGTTCTCCTCTTTCACCCTGTAGAAAACAACACGTCAGCAATAGAAGATATTAGAAAGATAGGTTTCACTTTACAAGTCAGAGAACACTCCCATGAATACTGGTGAAGTTTCTTTGTCTTATCAGCCTTTTGAGGAAAAAAACCAAAACAAAACAAGCGTTGATCCTGACCTCTAAGAACAACTGTTCAGAAATTATCCGATATCTGAAGTGTGACAAACTGATCTCAGTTACACCTATATAAACCCCCAGCACAATCCATGGTGTCCCCCAGATCCAACTGAGATCGAGAGGTACTGGTCTTATCAATCTAAAATATAAATAGGAGTATTTTTTAAAGTTTATTTAACTGTAAGACAAGATGGAAAAAACTATTGCTCACACTTTTACCCTGACCCATCACCGCAGCCCGCTGACCGCTTTACAGTGTTGAAAGCACCAGTTTTCTCAAGTCCTTAGGAACTCTGAGTCCCAAGAGTCAACAGGAGCTGGATGTGATTAGCTTATTATTTTGAACTCAAGCCACACGTGTTCCTGATAGGGTAGGCGCAGCACTGATGTCTATGCTAGGCTAGAGGAACCACGGTAAGTTATACTGGAAGAAAAGTACTATCACTTACAGGACCACCACGGGAACCCACTGGACCTGGGGCGCCTGCTGGACCAGTCTCTCCCTGTAAGGAACAGGAATGATTACAAGGTGTTTTTCTTCTTCCCATGAGACAGCCACTGGTGTGACTGCTTATCATTATGGAGGATGCTTTACCTTATCTCCAGGTGGGCCAGCGGGACCAGGGGGACCAATGGGACCTACGTTACCCTAAACAATTAGAATATATTTTGTATCAAAATATGACAATGGTAATTCCTCTATTTTGATCAATAGCATTTATGTTTCAGTGTAAACAGGTTGCTAAAGATATTTAAATGGAAGCAAGCCTACAATGCCAGTGGGGTGTTGCACATCATGTTTTGGAGCTACACTCTGAGATCACACCATCTTGTGATGTGAGAGATCTCCAATTGATTTATCTTCTCTTTTTTTTTTTCCCACCATCTGAACCTAATCCAAAATCATGTGAATTTGATAGGTCTCTCTCAATGGCAGACAATAAAAGTTATCCATTACCCTAACTTTTCCTATAGATAATTGGTTGATTTTTCTTGTCTGTGTTCAACATCTCTTGACTAGCTCCCTTTTTCTTTCTTGAGAATTTAATGCGTACCTGATGGTTTGAAATACATTTTTTTTATTACCTCCAACTCATACAAGCTGCATTTTTATATTTGTCGTCCCTCATTATTTTGATATATATACTGTTTGCATGTACTCATGACATATATATATTTCAAAGGTCTATTTTATGTGTATATGCTATATAGATGTATAAATATATTGTACATAGTAACCTGTAGAATTTTTCTTTATAAGAACACTTACTATCATGATGTCTTTTTTTGCTTCATTATAACAAGCATTTTCCTCATCAGTCAGCTAAATTTAAGAAGCTAATAACATTTTCTTTACTATTGTATTGGTGCTTTCCCTCCAAAACATTGTCCCAATTAAACATAATCTTCTGCTTGCAAAAAATTCTATTATATCTACCCCAGCACCTGTAATCACAAAAATTAGTCTTAAGTCTAATCTAATTTATGAAATCAAATTTGCACAGCCAGAATGAAATACAATGGTATTACTACTTTACCTCTCCTAGATGGTATTTTTATTCACATAAGTTTATTAATGTGTAAACTCCCAAGTCTATGTGCAGCTTATTGATGAGCTGCTAGATGTTTAAAAACTACTCACTCTCTCTCCTCTTGCACCAGGAATGCAATCAGCACCTTTGCCACCAGGTTCTCCCTAGCAAGCATAAGACGTAAAAAGCATAAGTAAAAAACAAGCGTAAGTTGAACATAATAAGCATGGGGAAAAAAAGAAGAATTAACACATTACAAAGGAGAGGATCTCATACCTAGGGTTTCCTTATTGTGATCATCCAAACGTAAAACTGGGGATGACATTCTGCCCAGTATTCAGCATCAGATATTGAAAACTTTGATGGAAAAAAAATCCCCAAATTGATTCAAAATGGAGTCCACACCAAACTGTTGGCCCATGATATGAACTATTCTCATTGTTTACTAGCTTCCTTAGAAATGTTTTAACATAACCCTTCCCCAAGAGACCTAACGCATCAAAATATCTAGTATATATTAAACCAGGTGCAAAATCCTATATTTTTTTAACATATAGGACCCCTATCACACTGCTAAATTGACAATATTGCTACACGGTCGGTACCTCTGAAATCAGTGAGTGACAACATGAACAAACCCAGTGCCTCATGGGAAGCTAACAGCACAAAATTGGCAGAGCGTGGGTGTGGGGGTGTATGGGCATGTTACCTTATCTCCTTTTGGTCCAGGACTTCCAGAAGCTCCTCTTTCTCCCGGCATTCCCTGTAAGCCAGGCAGCCCTGTGCCTCCAGGGGGACCAGGGGGCCCAGGAGGACCCTAAAGAGTGATAAAAAATAATTAGAAAAGATTAAAAGAAATAATATGAACCTGAATGATGCACACGATAGCAGGAAGGAAACAAGTCTGTGGGTACCTTGGCACCTTCAGAGCCAGCAGGACCTGGCCCACCTCTTGTTCCAGGAGGTCCTGGAGGACCCTGTGCACCACGTTCACCTGGGATACCATTTTCACCCTGTGGCAAAAAAAAGTGTTAATCTTTGTTGTCAGGTACATAGTTCGTTAATTCCTTAACGTAATTATAGAATCATTGCTGTATGTTTTACCTTAGGGCCTGGGAAGCCGGGTCCTCCAACATCACCTTTTGGCCCCTGTTTATGAGAAAATAAATGCAAGTCAGCCATACACTTTCCTTAGTAAATCTGCACTGTGGCTGGCACCCTATTTCTCTTGCCTATTAGCCCTGAAAGCAGACTTCTCTGCTCTACAGAGTGCTGATAGCTGTCTGAATTTGTAAACGTAATCTAGGAAGAGCTTTTCATTTTTTTTTTTTTTCATTGTTTTAAGAAAAAAAGGAACTACTACTTACTGGTTCTCCAGGCTTTCCATTTTCTCCAGCTGGTCCTGGCCCACCAGGCAATCCCTATATGAAGGAACAGCATTATCATCTCTGTAACATAGATAAATTATGCATTTTCCTATCTAGCAATTTTTTTTTTTTGACATGAAAATGTGTGCCCAACCCATTCCAATCCTTTACAAAGTAGGAGGTGCTAATTTGATAGCTAAAGGTCTTGTGTGGCATAATCTACTGAGCTAGCCATCTGGTTTACAGTTATGAAATAATCAGCAATAACTTTTGTCAAGTCTTTGATCTGTCTTCAAAATTTGATGAAATGCACCCTCATGAAAATGTTGACATGATGCTTTTTTTTTTGGGGGGGGGAGGGGTGTCAGGAGGGGAAGGGTATATGTTAATCTGTTAAAAAAAGAATCAGAAACCAATAAACAATAAACACACAGTACCTGGAGGCCAGGTGGACCAGATGGTCCTGGTTCTCCTCTCTCCCCAGAAGCACCCTGGAATCAAACAAAAGAGAAAACAAAAATAAATTATGAGAGAACATTTCAACATTTAAACACCTCCACACCACCTCTAATCTACACCAGTTTATTGTGGTCTGATTATGACATTGCACAATCCCAAAGACTAATGTAGTTTGGTGTTCTGGTATTTGCTCTTTTCACTCCAAACATTAGAGGCAATTCAGCAGACACATTTATACTTGATACTAGTCTGAAATGCTAGCTCTGATAAATGTTAAAAGGTGCAATACTATGCTTCAATTTGCAGATCCCCAAGAGCTCTAAATTGACTTTTGATTTCAACTTATACCAGTATACCCAACTTGGGTTCCTCCTAACAAAGTGTTGAGTATTGACTTATTTTAATAAGGGCAAAGAAGAGCTCTTTTGTCTTCACACAAGAAGATTTCTTTAAATCATTAAAAATATTTTCCTTCCCCTAAATTCCCAGTCTCTATCTGCAGATGCCAGACCACCTTGGCAGTAACTGATAATTGCCTCTTATGGGACTACCACACTTACAGTAGGTCCAGGAGGACCCGGGAGGCCAACATCACCATTCTTCCCAGCAGGACCCTATACAAAGACAAAATTAGGCCATGGTTATGGGTTGATATAATTTTTATGAAGGTTACAAAATTATTATTAATTAATATTATGTCATTATTAATTCAACAAAATGTTAATGAAACTTACAGGTGCTCCAGGTGGTCCACCAGGGCCTCTGTCTCCATTCTTACCCGGTGCACCCTTGCAAAAGAGAAAAATCACATTCAGAATACCTGTTCTGGTCAGCATACAATGACCTAAAGCTGCAGCACCAGATAGCCCCACTATGGAGCAGCTTAACAGTTGACTGATCAAACATAAGCATGACAGAAATGGACACAAACTCACTCACCTCATTGCCCTTGGGACCAGGGAAGCCCATTACACCCGGTTGACCACGTGGGCCTGGGGGGCCAGGTGGACCCGAGCGGCCAGATTCACCCTGACTACCCTGGGATAAACAAAAAAAAGACATGAAGACATGGCATCGATTAGGTGAAATAAATTAATATCTGTGACTCATTAAATACTGAGTGAGGGTGAGAGAGCAGGCTAGAGACATTGTCATTCAAAACGTTTTATGTGTTTTGTATGTCAGCTAAGCTTCTGTATAGTTTGTATTTTAAACAGTACTCCATGACAAGATTTACATAACGTTATTATGATGAGACAGCATATAAAGTGCTCTGGTAATTAAAAAAAAAACAAATCAAAACAAACAAAAGAGACAATTAATCTGACTGTCATAACAACCTGTCATGTAGATACTGTGGGATGAGGGTAAGGTCAGTAGGAGGACTAGCATAAAGTATTTGCACAATGTACATACTGGAGGGCCAGGCTTCCCATCGCTTCCGGGGCTTCCTGGAATTCCGGGCAAACCCTGCAATTGAAGAAAAAAAAAGGGTTATTCTTCAGTTTAAAATTTGTAGTATTAAGTTACAATACATAAGTATAAATATATAAAAATAAATTTTTAACTACTTCCTTGATTTTGACCTCTTTAATAAAGATTAAAACTCTTGCCATTTGCCCCCTATCCCATTAGGGGAAACATTGGAGAAAGCTAACAAATTCTTTTGTTAGGAGTTTATCACTTGCTCTGAGAGTCATTGTATATAATCAAGGTATCGGACATTAATCAACACACACAAAAATTGTATTCTTTCATTAATTGGGAAGAAAACTTATTTCAGATGGTAAAAATCAAAGAATGAAACAATTTTGGCTATGTACCTCTACTTAAAAGCAACAGAGTTTATAACATATTTTAGCTAACTTGTTTTACATTTTTAAATATGATTTTTGCTACCTTTTAAATCATTAATTTTAATTTCCAGTAAAATCTTGTTTAGCTCCCAGAAGCCGGCAGTCAAGCCGACTTTTGAATTTCAATGTATTTGTTGTTAGCCATTGCTAATTCTTGGTATAGCTCACAGAATGTTGTTACATTCTGCACATATTACACCAGAGGTTATCTCTGAAAATGTTCTTGATATGTACTATGAAAATCTGAGCAACAGTTTGTGTGCTTTAATTGCAAATAAGCAATAAATATAATTCAAGTACTTAAGTAGAATGAAATA